AAGTAGTTAGTTATCCGCCTGCTTTTTGCCTCTGAGGCCTAGTTGGTGGTTCATATTTCATATATATATATATATTTTTTTTCTTATTAACTAAATGGTCTTTCGAAGCAAGTTCTCAGCTCTTCGGAAAGACGTCCTGCGCTTCTGTACTGATGGACGCTGCTTTATCACATCTTTTTTAAAGAATTCTTCAAGCGCTCCAAGCGAGCGATTTCTACGGAGCACTATTTCGAATGAGTACAGAAAAGCGACATCATCGCTCACGCTATGGCGTACACCGTCAGCTTCTCTGGGGCGCCATAAGCTGTCTCAATCCAATCACTTTAATTCCCGATGGCAGCCCGTCACCTCAAGCGACGTTTAGCGATAACAATGGACGTAAAATTCGAAGCGTTTCTATAGTCGGGCTAACCCGTACGGCCAGCTCCTGTGCATATACGGACTATTGTATTTTAGAACAGTTTGAGTTTTTTTTACCGGTTTCGTGTTAGGTAGGTTGACCTATTTTTTTTTCTTACGATACTCAGATATTTTGGATTGTGACTCTGTGCTCTACTTTCGATCTCCCGATAACTTGAAATAGTCTGACAATCGATTGTGGTCGTTATTAATATTATAAACTAGACTAGATGTTACTGAGCTCGTAGCGAAATGGGCACGATGCCTGGCTGTGGATTAGAAAGTTCTAAATTTGAATTCTGGCCGGCTCGATTCTTCTTTGTCACATTGGCTTTATGCTTTTAGTCCTCTAATCTTCCTTAGATTCTTTGTAGTGCAACCAGACATGTAGCTCAGGTGGACCAAGAGCGCTTTTTTTTCTTGCGAGAGGTACGGGGGCCGACATCTTGCATTTTTGGCTTTTGTCGTGGTGTTTAAACGAATCCTCCCAATGTCTATATTGTTGGCATGTGCCATTAACATGCTTTATGAAATGTTTGAGATTTAGCCCAGCACGATGCATCAGATCTCGCTTCTAAACCATTGATGAAAATTGCGTCAAATGTCTCCAAGTTGGCTTCAACCTAACTCTCCAAAATCCGCCGACATGATAGAGTTGACTGGCTTCATTTCAACAACACAAACCGTACATATGCCTATCTCTGGACCCCTTTATTTTATGAATCAATATAGGCATTCGTAGTATCCTTAAAAGGATGTGAAGAATTGGTAAGACTCCGGTAATTGTATTCCATAATAAATTCATTAAAAAGGCTACTCTCATGGCAAACAGATGACTGTGGAGCCTATAGCATCTATAAAGGTTTGGCTTTGGCCTATTTGTATTACGCGCAAGCCTCGAAGCTTTGCAGCATAGTTCCAACAATTTCAATTGACTAGTGGGTCTCATAGAAAATGGTCTAAACATCGGCTAGCGATTGCGTACCGTTTGGTCGAGAAAACGGGTCTGCTAAAGCAAATTACATACACGCGGCTTCCTACAGAAAGGCCGAGCGACTAGCGCTTCTGCCGCAGACCCTTACACAGAATAAATCGCTTCTACGAGCTGAAGGTCACTCCGGTAACAGTATATAACGAGAATTTTGTCGGTATTCCTATTATTCAATCGTTGTCACCCATCAACTGGATCTTCTATGGACGACAGCGTTGTTTTTGACGCGATACTTTCTTCCATTACGGAGCTAGCAACGATGCCTTTGACGAGCCTCCTCATTCTTCTCTTTTTTTCTCCTTATTCTAATCTAATGGACTCCGCGGCATACACACCGTACCTTCGCTTTTCCCTTTTAGTTATGCTCAGTGGCTGTAAACGATATTTTCATCGTCTTTTTACGCTTACTGCGCATTACGAAATGCTGGCGATGTTAGATTAGCACGCAGCGACAACGCGATCGATTCGCTTACAAGCTGACTTCTATGAGGGATTTTTAAGGACACTGTTTAGACCCACGCTTAGCTTACCCTAAGCCCGCTACTTTCAATATTCGAGGCCCAGCGGCCCGCCTAACAAGTAGCTGATACAACAGTCTCATCAAACTTTCCACTGAGCGAGGATAACTGATACATTCATTTCCCATTGTAAGCCAGTGATTATCGTCTATCCCGCACCTCTTCAACGCCGACTATTCCAGCCAGGTTCTTTCGGAAGGTCAATCGGATGGGTTGACTACTCAGTTTTGACGGTATATCTGTTGCCCTAAATAGAAAACGTGTTTGAGTAACTGCTGGTGAGAAACAACTGGATCATATCTAATCGAACGTAGCGGAACAACAGACGATTCTGTTTGGGAGCTCGACAGCAAGCTAAAGCGGCTTTTGATGCAGTAAATATGCGATCATTTATTTATTATTTTTATTATATTGTGACCAGGATGGGATAAATCCGCGGACAGGTGGAATGAAGAAGACAATACCACTACTCTCCAGCCTATTGCTATAGTGACTCCTGTTGTTACAACAGCATCAGCAATCGCTCGTCTCTAACGTTCGCAAGTGAGTGACAATTTTGTGACGGTGAAATCACCGGAAACATCTCAGTCTTTCGTGAGGAAGCTTTTTGCTCAAATAGGACTTTCGTTATGGTAGGATCGTATGGTTTTCAACCCCGATATATGGTAGGACATTGAAAACGTAAATTAATGTAGATTACGTAAAGGGCACAGAAAGCTACACCGACCTTCAACCGGCTTACGCTTCTAATGAAAGAAATAATAATAAAAAGTAAAAATATTGAACTCCTTGAGATGCGTCCCTTGATACGAGTTCGAATCGTCTAATAGTAGTAATAATAAATAGAGAAATAAAGGTGTAATACAGTGTCCACGTACGGAAGCCATCAAATGTTAAAGCTGTCACAACTCATACGGCATCGTAGCGAAATAGAGAATGAACAGCGGGGTGACTTCATGAATGACCGTAAAGGGATATTTACGGCATAAACGGACTGCTCAATATAAAAACAGACCTTATAAAGATCGAGGCATCGTTTGTACACCTATCGACCCGCCAATGCACAACGTGAGCAAACGATGTCTGCGTAACGAAGCACTCGTTATAGGACGAAAACTAAGGCGGCTCCTATACACGCGTCGACACCAAGCTAATCAACAGATACCTTCGAGCGTATTTTATCTAGTCCGGAAAATAAAGAGCCGTAGAAATATAACGCCTGTTGCAATAGTATATTTAACGATCGAGAACAGTTATATTCACTTGGAAAAAAAACCTGCTCATCTAGGGGAGGCGCCCTTGTGTTTCGCAAATTCGAGAACGATTCTGTCAAATATTCAATAAAGGTTTCCGATACAGGGCTCTCAACGGTGGACCTAACGCATTACTGTGCATCAGCCTGAACTATTGAAACATGCCATAGCACTAGCAGCATAGTTTGCGCCATAGCACTAAGGACCTCCAAGAAGAGACCTTTATATATCAAAGTACCTTTGATCGCGTTTGGATCGGTTAACACCGGGTTGTAGCCCTGTCGAGGAAGTTGAACTCGTGTAGCACATCAAATTTACGAACGACGCTTACTTGTAATATGAATCATCTGCCTTACACAGGGACTAGAGAGAACATCCTCGGCGTATGCAAACATTGAATTGTCCAGCTGGTCAGGGAGCGATTTCATTTGTCTAGGTAACTTTAACTCCCGCTCATTTTTTCGGATGAGCTAAATATCTACACTGAAATTATTGGAGAAGTAATTAATTGCAGACGTATTCCTCGACGGATAAAAGTCGTTATACGTTATAACAATCATTTTGTTAGCTATGCTTCGGTTCATTTTCGTCACAATCTGAACTTTCTCGAGCCGACCTACGGCGTGTCAAGGACTTGTAAATCCTTTGGGATGACCTCCGAAGAAATTTAGTCATCCCTTCCGACTCTAAGGGTTACTGTAGAACATCCTTTATCTTAGCAATGATACCTATTCTATTCAGAAAGGACTTCTTCTTCTGTTTCGCGAACAATGACATGCTTTTTTAACTCATCACCATTTGATGTATGGTATCGTTTGAAGCTGTAACTTTCAAAGTGCCGAGTTTCTGTAAACGCGAACAGGTACCGCTCATGTGTTCATAAGTGTGCGCAAAATTTTCAATGCTTCGACGACACTTTTCCTAGCGGTTTTATGACGATTTTTTAGTTCTACGATTTCATTGCAGAGAACATTGCCGCTAATGAAACAATGCAAAGAGTTATCCCGGGCGCAAATGCGGATCGCCTAATGAAAGGAGCGCGCCAAGCGCTTCCAATAGAGAAAAGCGAAACTTAAACGTTATCGAAGTTCTTTCTCAACTGACCTATATAACCAAAAATAAGTATGGAATTAAAGTAACACAGGTACGGTCGAACCACTTCTCTACGTCCTCAAAGGGAGTCCATATCACATAGAAAATAATGCCAAACAGAGTCAGCCGTAAAAATGTTGTTCAGGAAGCACTTTACCTTTCTCCTGGATAAATTTAAAAAATTAAGAAAAAATTTGGTCGAGGTTAGTTCATTGTAACAATAGTTCTATGTCGAAGCCGTCTGCCTCCAAGTGATCCGAATGAGTTCAGCATAAATAACTAGGTGCCCGTAACTGCTAAGGTCAACATAATAGATGAATTGTATATGAGGCTATGTATAAGCGCATCTCAATTTAAAACTGTCTTTTATAATCAACATGTCTTCCATTTCAGCTGTTCGGCACATTAAGCGCATAGCTACACACACAATGGATTGGCGTACCCTTGCAAAACTTGAACTGGGCGAAACGTCATATGTTGTGGAGTCTAGTCTCAAGGAACTTCAGTTACTGCTTCGTGAAGCGCGGATAAGCTATAGTAATAATAAGTTCCTCTTGCGCTTTCTTCGAGTAGATAAATTTCAAGTGTCTGCAGCTTTTAAGCGTATAAAGAAGTATTACGAAATATATGCAAAAATGGTCCGCCCCGGATGCGGGCCTCTCGATTTCAAACATATTTATGATGCCCAAGTGACGACTATACTGCCACAATCTGACTCAGAGAAGAGGTATTGTTGACTTATTTTGACAGTATTAATTACTGTCTCAGAACTCGACTCTGCTGGTTTACATTATACAGATATTGTGCTTCTACAGAGACCACCGCTCATTGACTAAACGATTAGTTTTATATATATACGCCGGTATAGAAGTCTCAATCAGTTGCGCCATTTAGGCGAACGGCATTTAAATTTTCACGGCACTTAACAATCTGAGTAGATAAGTTACACCAGTCAATCCGATATAATCGATGGGGTAGGGTTAAAGGGTCTGTAGACGACAATCATTATAGGGTAGCGCTTGCTACCCTATAATGATTGTCGTCTACAGACGCTACCCAGTTATATGCGTGTGTATCTTTGTCATAGAACTAGGTTTTGGTGCCAGATACAGCAGGTGCATGCTATCAAACTAAAAGCCAGTCACCATCAGGTGACCAGGACTCTCCAGTTTATGTAAAATTTTATTTATGTAAAATGTCGAAGGCTCGCGCCTGTAGTTGAAGATTGCCCCTCCCCCCTCCTGTGGCGCGCACATTTAATATATCTAGTGTGGATACCGACAGAAAAGATATTTTTTTTTTGTTTTACGTCCGGCATTTAAGCCTTTAGGCATTACTTGAAACGAGATGACTGCATAAGAGATACGCTAGCGTCTGTAGAGAACGTTTTTCGAAATGCTAGCCTCTTTGCTTTGAGTAAACGGAACGCTGAATAAAACGTGTATTACTAGGGACGAATAGCTGCAGTTGACTGTTCAGTTATCGATAGAGTAAGTTGGCCAGCTATTGCTGTACGACCGCAGGGGGGAAGTTGTTCATTGAAGGAAGCATAGGCGACAGTAAAGGCAACGGCCTCTGACGCGAAAATCGTAGCTGGCAGCTACGGCCTGCCGAAACAGCCCCAAGGGACAGTGGCGCTCTGCTTCATTATAAGTACAGCATGACAAGCAAGATGTCACACGTAGCAGGGAAAAGCTGCGAGGCCACAGAGAAGAACATGACATGAAGGGACACGCAACGCTGCCATTGCTGTTTCCTGTTACTCAGCAGCGCGGACTCTGTCATGGGAGGAGACACGCACATCGCGATCCAAAGTAAGAAGGTACACTAGCATACGAAGAGGGTGTACATGTGCGTGTGTTACACCAGCCACGGACACGCGCGAGCCGACCATAGCATACATATGGCAACACGGAGTGTAGTCTTTTTATGGGCTTTGCTAGTACTATGGCCGTCTCGGAACGGAAAAAAAACAGGACAAATAGGCTGTCTAAGAAGCTTCTGCGTTTCGTCCTCATTTCAAAGGCGAACGTGCTACTAAAACAGTGGCCACGCTTCGCTCATGAACGTGTGCACCAATATTTTATCAGAGAAATAATCGAGGAATAACAATGATTGAAACCAATCACTGATATTGTTCGTGCATGCCTTGACGGCTTGCTCAGCTGTGTAACTCATTTCTTCACAGAGAAATTGCTAATATTTAAAATGTATTTTTTTAGAATAAGACGTAACAGTTAATGACATGCCTTTACATTACCATTTAAATATCAGGAAAGTGTTTATTGCACGCGTGGGCCACTGGAACGCTGATAGCGGATTCACGTTGAAAGACACATATGTTCCTGATATATTCCTTCTGGAGCAAGCCTTGGATGACGATGAATCTCAGGTTAGTTACGAACTCAATAGCTATATATACGTTTATTATCTAATGCAGAGGTCTGTATCCTGCATAGCAGAACCATGCGGGTGAAGGGCTTGAACGTTCACAGAGCGCTATAAATCATATCTGCGTAGCTAAAGGAGGGTACCTAACATCTAAGTCCAGCCACCTATAACTCTCATTTCATTAGCGTAATGAACTGTCTGTGAAAATTTTAGGTACGCGGACTTGTGGCAATCGTTGACATGGCCGGCTTTTCGTTTTGGCATATGCGCCAACTCAGCTTCAGTCATATAAAGGTAAAGATTTTCTTTACTTGTTTCGTACTTAAATACGTTTTTTGTTCTGCTAGAAAACCTGGTGAACTTCGCTTATTTTTCCACGTAGCACAAAAGTAAACGTCTTTTATGTAGGATCGAGATGGCGCTGTACAATTGCAGCTATTTAGAAGGCTACGGGTCCGTCCTGTTCACTTACCGACACATGTAAGCTTCTAGCTAGTTTCCCAGATTTTGGTTATCCTAGTTGGACGCCTGCTAGCATATAGGAAGCGGGACGTTTCAGGATCTGGGGTCAATCAATTGGGGTCTGTCATATTGTGGAATAGCCGTTTGTTATATAACTTATACAATACGATAGTGTTTTTCTAATTTTTCTTTATATGATTTCCTTGTTACCTGCTCCTCTGCACACACTAAATTTGAGCCTTTATACTCCTTAAAATGCGTTCTACGCAACCTAGCGCATGTCATCGTATCCTGTCGCTCGTTGTTCGTGTACAGAACCTTCACAGTTCAATCACACTTTCTTTCGTTCCGTGTTTATCAGTTGCTATGTTAATAATGCGGTCTGGAGTGATTTAGTCGAGTCGTATTAGCTCTCCATATGTGCTTTTTCGCGTAGATGCAAAAACAGCTCCTATTTTTCAACTAGTGACACTCATAGCACTCAGCTTAACCTATACGTATACGCCTGAGTCATATAGCCTACACAACACTTAATTATTTGAGTTGTTTCTTAGACGGCTCCGTAATTGGAATTGCCAGCAAGCATTACACTAGACTGTTTAGTAGATAAAAGTCAAATGATCAGATGGATAAAATCGCTTAGATATATCCCATGTCCGGTATCGGTGTTGGGCATTCCACTATAGGACTGGCTCAGTGATGTGCGACTACGCTGGGATTCGAACCTAGACCACAACGTTGGCAAGCAAATATGTTACATCGGCGAGAAGTGTTTACTAAGCTCAACCGATTAAGGCAAACTTATATTTGTTTAATATCTTTTTTTTTACTAACACAAGCTTGAACAGAAGTAAACGAAATCGCAAACGGAAGTAACGTAAGCCATCGAAATAAAGATTCATTGCGGTGCAAACACAGTGGGGCACAATATAATAAACATTGTCAGCGTAGCTAAGCGGTAATAGTCTGCCGCCAGCCGGACAACCAGAATACGCTGTTGTTTGTAGCAAAGATTATCTTTATACATTTCACAATGGAATCTATAAAAATTATCCAGTTCAGTCTACCGGTAAAACCACCTATTTGTTTAAGCTTGACAAAAGTACCTAACAATGTTGTTGCGGAAAATCGTTGCGAGACATAAATGATAACAATACTCACATTGCATAGTAAGATATCGTTTTCTGCGTCCTGCCATTGTTAGCTGGTATTAGAACAACAAGGAACGAATACGAGTCACTCTGCGCATGATCTGAAGACGGCTGTACACAGCTTTAAGGAGCCGATCATTTTACTATCCCACTGACCGAATAAATATCCAAATTTCTGAACTAGTTCTGATATCTACAAGCGTTAGCGGAAAAACCTAGACTTAAACAGCAAATGATTAGGCATTCTCTTGTTATTAGGTTACCAAAAATTTCTAAAAAGTTTCTTTGGCAACTCCGCTTCCCGTGCAATTATTTTCCACTCATGAACCAAACCACAGATCTCTATATTGCAGCGATTACTTTATATCGAAGGTTCAAAGATTCTCTGCACCATTACATCAACAAACTCTGACTAACCCGATAATAAACTCATTTATTTGTTGTTTGCTTGCCAGTGAAGTCTACAAAAGAAAGAGACTCCCAGGAGCTGCGGCTGGGTCAGAGAGAATAAAGGGAACCGCAATTAAATATACTTAATTTCGTTACATTGACAGAGCTTTAATACGTTCTGTGGACTTCTCTTATCTTAATTGAGGACACCCTAGCGCGGTGTTTAGACCTAAAGCTGAGCGCCACTCGCCCCTGGATGGCTGCCTCTATCGGCAGAGGCGAACGCTCCGTTATCGCGTCAGCTGTCGCGTCATACGTAAGTGGGCCCAACTCTCTCCCTTCTCGCCTCTTACACCCCCACTTCTTGTGAGTGGGGGTGTAAGATTCTACACCTTCTGTTTGCTCGTGTTTTGTTGCCCCCTTTTGCCCGCCCTTTCTATCTCGCGCGCCCCAATTCTCCAAGACACGCTGTGACTGCATGTCTGCAGGGAACTTACGATGAAATTACCTTGATGATATCAGACTGTTCATTAGTGATGCGCAGTTCGCCATAGTGTACTCGAGAAGCTCTGGCAGGGGTAAGCTCCAAGCCGTCACGAGCTGCCATGCAATGCAGTGTTTAAATGACAGCGGTAGCAGCATCGGTGGAAAGAGCAGCAGACATAACCGCGGCGATAGTCCGAATTGCATCGATACAAGCGGTAGTAACGGCAACAAGACATTCCGAATGGCTGAATTGAGTTGCCAGGACTGACTTTTTCTACACACGCAGCATCGAATAGTGAAGGTGCCGATACGAACGTTTACTTCGCCAGCTGCTGCTTCTCGCAATATAACGCCTCCAAGTGCGGATCGTACGGGTCGGGCATACCCCATGTACCGCCTTCTATCGATTTCCACTATAAACTTTTGCTGTCAAGCGACAGAAACCTGCTCTGTCAGCAAATCCTGCCAGCTTCTTCCGAAGACCTTTGTGCTCTAGATTTAGGTCTACTTTCGCTTAGCCAATCATCATTCTTCCACGAGTAGCTCAGAGCGGACTACCCGGGGACGGAGGTGGCCGCGGCAGCTAGGCTGTAAGCGTGAGCTATTGCGGTTTTGTTCACATGTAATGACATGAAGAGGTGTATATAGAGATCTGTAAATGTCTTCTGTCGTAGCTGAGCAGGATGATTGACAATAGTTTATTGTCTGAATTCAGTCTAAAAGCTAACGATTCTGTTCCGGAGTAGATACGCAACACTCTTGTACAACATTACCGGAATGCACTGGGAGGATTACCTCATTGTGTCCTGTGGTTTCTATGGTCTCAGTAACGTCAGTCGGGCAGTCGTAACTTTCACTGTTGTTGTCTCAATGACATCACCTTATAGGAGCATCAGTATACAGTCAACGTCGTGTAAAGGTGTAATAGATTTAAGTGTCGTTTCGAAAAGCAAATTTGTCACTTCATCAGTAGCTCGTAGAGATTAATCTTTCAAAGTTCAGCATGTCGTTTGGAACTTAGAGACCCTCACTTTGTTTTTAATGAGCGATCGGAGAATTTTTTAGAAAATATTGCCACCGACAAACCGGCTTCAGGAGTACGAGATTTCGCCGGAGCAGAGCGTGACTATGGATCGCGTAGTGAAGATAAGCTTCGATTGACTGTAATAGTGCAGGCATCGAAACTACTTAGTAGAGTCCGATTCTTCCATTTAGAGGAAAGACATTCCAAAAAATACTGCATCGTGTAGATTGAGTTTTGGTCACGTGACAGTTGCGCCGATTCGAAGCTCGAGAACGAAAAGTTCTCGGAAAGCTATGCAAGCAACCGCCTTATCCAATCCAACGCATGCCTATAAATAATATAGTATATATTATATTATACATATTTTATAGTAGCTTATATAATATAGTAAAACAAATAAATGTTCTTATATATAATTCGAATGTAAAGAACACTTACTGGTAAATTTTTAAATGCAATAGTTTACACTAAAGCTTTCAAATAAATGTAGACGTATAGAAAGTAGCTACAAAAACCCTATAGATTTATTGCCCTATTGGGAAGGCATCTAAGCGTTTCCGAAAGCCATATATTGTGGTCGTAGTAGCTGACTGCAATGGGCTTATACCAACTTCTTACTTTTGTAACTTCTTACTTATAACTCTAGTACTGATACAGGTTGGCTTCGTTGAGTTGTGCTATTTTTTTTTGTCTGTAAGACGCCTATATATACAACTTTTATCTAATGTTATTATCATATATTCTTCATTCAACGGCAACGTATTATGTGGTATAACATTATGTAACACCAGCAATAATACATGTAGATTAAATGTATGTAATTAAATGTAGTCTGTCGATTTCATCAGTACTAATTCTGGTCTTTAACGAATTTCCGGGGGCTTCCTGGCCGAGAGGAAATTGGAGAGAGGGTTAATCGTATTACATATAATAAACACGATCCAATGCTTTCGTCATACTGATGTGTAAGAGAGAAGGGAACCCGGCCTGTCGGTCATATCCGACAGCTCGCGCTTGTTTAACCGAGCGCGTGTAATAAAGAAATCATCAGAATCCTCCATTGCGATCACTACTCTCATGTTAGCAGCGGTAGCACAGGTGATCTGTTGAGTCCAATGAAATTTTTTCTCGGAAGATTTGCTCGTCCGTGACTCAGAGACATCTCCTGATCGACATCTGTCACAACGAGTGGTCAGACGCCAGAAAACCTTCAACACAGCTGGTCACAGTAGAGCGAGACCTGATCCGGCAGTCTGTAAAGGTGCGGCGGAGTTTTGTGACGTACACAAGCGATCATCACTGTTAACGCTTCGGTAGTAAAAACGATAGCGGCAGGAACAGGAGCAGTTGCCCAGTGAGAGGTTGTCTATTGCGGCGGGCCGCTCGTTACCGTTTGTGCTCTCGAACGCCTCTAGCAGGTGTCACCGGGCATTTGGCATATGAAGCACGACGCTCGCATATTCTGTTGATGTCCTGTCTTCTGTGGCGTTTGGCCTACGCACGTGTGTAGTCCGTGACGGCCGCACGACACTTAATGAGCTACTTTCGACTAGCAGCAACAGAGAAGATGACTACTTCAGGCTGGGAAATTCGTGCCCGACAACATCTTGGCGAAACTGCCGAAATCAGAGAACGAGCTCTGGCCAGCTTTCGCAAGCTGCTTGCCGATGAGCTTGGGCGAAAGCCACCGATCAGGATTCGAAAGGACGATGAATACTTCCTGCGTTACTTGCGCTACAGTAAATTTGATGTACCTCGTGCGGTGAAATGTTTTATCAACT